GTGTGATGCATGTTATCTGCTTTATTCCCGCAATTGGACGGAAGAGAGCATCAATTCATATAATGCAACTCTCTTTTCGATGAGCTTGGCTCTAATTTCGTCAATCTTCTTTGGAATCGTCGTTATATCGTGTACCCTTGAGGGCAAACCAAAAGATCCCAGCCAAGCAACTGGTTTGAAAGTTGGTGCGCAGGCATCGACGTACTGAAACATCAAACCGTCCATCTCGATTTCCAAATTGAAGACTTCTCGCATCATCTCTCTGGCTTTGGTGTCGAGGTGTTGACGTCTGTCTAGCATGGCAGACATGATGACAAGTTTCAAACAGCTCATCTATCTTTGTTTGCGCTAATTTTAGCCTTGATGCAGAGCTCTTGTTTGTTGCACTCCTACCTCATTTGCTTCGCGTGAATGTTTTATGTAACCCGATCCCAAACGCTCCATCATCTCGTCCTTCTTGCATTTTAAAGATCTTGCCTCTCTCAGATGTGGATTAATTATGTCTTAAAAGAAAATGTTACCATAGGAGGGACTTATCTGACTCTGTCATCATAGATACATGACGTGAGAGTTAAAGATCCAGAGCTCCTCTCCACAGTATCTCTGTTCCTGCTTCCAAGCATCACCTCATCAATTGCTACAACAGCGTCTAAAGCCAGTTGTAATGACAAATCCATGAGAGGCAAGTCACTTGATCAAGCAGCTAAAATGTTGAGAAGAAATCTCGTCTCGACGATTAGTTCGATTCGCGGAATAAACCTTTGGTTGAACACTTGTTGCTACGAAAGATACAAGAAACCACTCTTGGAGCATCATTAAAGTGACTTTTAAGCACTGCCGATTCACGTGCAAATGGTTGAAAGGCAGAAAAACCCAAGAAACGCTCAAACAGCACTTTTCCAAAAAAACGACAAATGATTGGTTTTGGCAGTTCGAGCGATGTTATTCCAAGCACAACAGAAGCTCTCAAGTTCCAGAAAGCCAAGGACTTTTTGCACAGACCAAGGTCTTCTCTTTTGTTGAAGCTTCGTTCGGGGGAACAGTTGAGCTACTGCGAATGTGGACCAGCTACAGGCATCCCAGTGGTCTGGTTCCAAGGCCCAACACACAATCGCTTTGTTATCGGTCTCTACGAGGAAATGGCCAACGAATTAGGTTTGAGGCTGATTTGTTTCGATCGCCCAGGCAGGGGAGCATCGACGCCTCCTAGGTATCCAAAAGAATGGGGATTCGACTCTTGGGCAGGTATTTGATTTGATTTCAGCCTACGTCGACGAAGCAACTGACTTGCTCAAGATTGAAAAGTTCCATATTATTGCACACTCTTTCGGCACTTCTTACCTCTTGGCTTCTTATGAGAGGCTGCAAAAGAAGATTATTGGATCTCTTCGTTTTCTGTCAGTATGGGCACCCACAAATTTACCGTGCATGCCAACAACCTATGCCATCCAGAGATCAATGCCTACTGGTATGATTCGCAGAATGATGGCACTGTCTTCTTCTGCCTCCCAGATGGTCAAATCCATGCCAACCATCATGGGCACCATTGGATTCAGAGAGCGAGAATGTGCAAATGAACTGCACGCCAAAGAGATTCTAGAGTGCATGCATGAAGAAGTTTATGGAGATGATTACAATGCCTATGAACTGGACTGGCTGCTAGCACTCGAAATCAGAAAACAATTTCCCTACAACCACCGCACTGTAAAAGCACCCGTCAAGTGCTGGCATGGCATGGATGATGATGTCGCTCCATTAGGTGCTGCCATGTGGCTTCAGAGAGAGATGAACCAGTTCTTGCTCTATGCTGTCGAAGGCGCCACACACAATATTCTCCTTGACTTTGCCATCGTCCGTGCAGTGCTGGCAGATGTCTCTGCAGAGCACATGGTCTTGTTCAAGCCAGAAGAGAAGCCACAGGAAGCAGATGCACAGGAAAAAGTCGAAAAGAAGGATGATACGCTGGTGCCTCAAGCACAAGGATCTGCCGTTGAGAAGCCGTTGAATGTCCCAGATGTTGCTGGTGTCTGGGCCTAGTTGAGTCTATAAATGTGCCACTGAAGTTTGCATTTGAGATCTTGAAAAGTCAAACTCTGACAGATTTACTGACCGAGGATTCTCAGAACATCACAGTACATGCCAAAAGCAGTCACTTGATCACCAGCACCAGCTCCCTGGACAATGATGCCATTGGGGAAACGCTTGGTGACAAAGTTGATGATGTTGTCACTACCTTTCATGCTGGCAAATGGATGGTCAAATGGAAATCGTTCAAGCTTGCAGAAGCATCCCTGTGGAGACACGTTGCCAATGTATCTCAGAACATGTCCAGATTGAATGGCAGCTTGGTTGAGCTGCTCAAAGTGCTTGTCAAAGGAAGGCAGCTTGGCAAGAAACTCTGATGCATCCTTTGCTTGTTGCAGCTCTTGAGGGACCAAGTTTTCGATTGGAATTGAGAGATCGACTTGGTAACCAGACAATCGAGACAAGATGACGACTTTTCTGCCAACATCCATGCCATTGAGATCTTCTCTTGGATCTGGCTCCTAGCATGAGATCAGATACCGTGTAGCCGAGGTTCTTGGCTTGAAAGACAATGTCAGAGAACTTGACACTAGCACCTTGCTTTGAGAACTGGTTAAAGATGTATGATAGTGTTCCTGAAAAGATGCCCTGAATAGATACGATTTCATCTCCAGTGGCGATCAAATCGTTCAAGGTCGAGAGAATTGGCAATCCAGCACCGACAGTCGATTCATGACGCACACTCACTCTCTTCTCTTTGGCAAGGCTGGTAATGGAGCGATAGAGTGCCAAATCACCAGAAAATGCCTTCTTGTTTGGAGTGACGATATGAAATCCTCGTCTGATGAATTCTGGATACAAATCAGCAATCTCCTGACTGCTGGTGCTATCCACAAGAATCAATGGCTTGAACTGCTCCAAATGCTTGAGAAACTGAGACATGTCCAAATCCTGATTGAGCTCCAAATGCTCCAAATCTGGCTGCAGTGTCATTCTCTTTGATGAACAGACTCCAACTACTGGAATCTTGCCCTTGACCTGCTGCAGAAATGCTTTTCCAACCAATCCTGGTCCAATCAGTGCCAAAGACATCAAAAGAACTTTCCATGCGGCCAACACTAGTAGAACACAAGTCTCTCAAACATCCATTTCTGATAACAGACTGTCCACAACCAGACATGCTGACTTCCTACTTGCAATTACTCAGAGACAACAAAATTCAAGATCTTGTGCGGATTTCAGAACCAACGTATGACGCAAAGCAGCTGGAAGGGATCAGGATACATGAGTTGCAGTTTACAGATGGAGGCACTCCACCAAAAGACATTTTGGACAAATGGCGGCAATTAACATCAAAACAGCAAGGGCCTATTGCTGTGCATTGTGTCAGTGGCATCGGCAGAGCACCTCTGATGGTCTGCATTGCTCTCATTGACCAAGGAATGGATCCCTTGGATGCCGTCACATTTATTCGACAACAGAGACGTGGAGCGATTAATAAGGTCCAGCTACAGTTCCTAGAGTCTCTCAAGAAGAAATCATGGCTCCAGAGAATGTTTAAAAAGGTTTAGTTCGGGATGTGAGTAAAGAGATACGAGATGGACTCGCCATTGTGCGTTCTGCGGATCGCTTCAGCAAACGTGGAGGACACATCAATCTGATCCAACTTTGGACAGACTGCTAGGTTGTGTTCCTGAGGAATCGTATTTGTGACAATGATCTTCTTGAGAGCAGAGTCCTTGATCACTTGAATGGCTTTGCCAGAAAGCACACCGTGCGTCACCATGGCATAGACTTCGGTGGCACCATTCTCGAGCAAGACTTTGGCAGCTAAACCAAGCGTACCACAAGTATCAGCCATGTCATCGACCAAGATGCAGATGCGGTCTCTGACATCACCCACCAAGACCATGCGAGAGACTTCATTAGCCTTCTTGCGTTCCTTGTGGATCAATGCAAACTCGACATCCAACTTGTCAGCAATAGAAGTAGCTCTCTTGGCACCGCCTGCATCTTCAATCAGCATCTATACCAGGAGAGACAATCACCACTCCCTTTTCTCCAAGAATCGTGTCACGAATGTACTTGAGCGTGCTTGGCTCTGCGTACAAGTTGTCGACAGGAATATTGAAGAATCCCTGAATCTGAGAAGCATGCAAGTCCATCGTAATCACATGGTTTGCTCCAGCAACAGTAAGCATATTCGCAACCAACTTGGCAGTAATTGGCGCACGCGACTTGTCCTTCTTGTCCTGACGAGCATAAGGGAAGCAAGGCACAACAGCAGTGATTCTGCGAGCGGAGGCAGTCTTGCAAGCATTGATCATCACCAAAAGTTCCATCAGATTGTCGTTGATCTCACCACACCCAGACTGGATCAAAAAAACGTCTTCGTCACGAACAGACTCACCAATCGTCACTGCCGTCTCCATGTTAGAGTACTTGGACACTGTGCACTTGCCCAGCTCTAGCCCCAAGCGCTTTGCAACCAACCTCGCAAACTCAACATGAGAGTTTCCAGCAAAGATTTTGATATTGTTGGTCGTCGATGCTGGCTTGATGGTAGAAGGGAGCAATTCCGTACTGAACGTCATTCAAAAGTCGCTTGGGAAAGAAAAACGACATAACCGTTTTAGGAAATTCCACAGTTTCGTTTATTGAGCACCGACGATAATGTTGTTGATTGGAATATGAATCAACTTGACAAAGAAGCCAATGAAACCAATGAGCACAAATCCCATGCCAACGGCTTGAGTGATAGCCAGGAACTCTCTCTGGTCTGGTTTAGTACAACGTCTAAGCATGACAATGGATTCCTTGAAAAACTGGCGTGGCTCCTCGATAATCTCCTTGAATGTGTCCATTGCGGGAAAGAACGCGCTGGAATGAAATCGACAATGCTTCACTCCATCAACACAAAAACCAAACTAGTGCATTGCTATAGAAGAGGCATCTTGGCAAAAAGACGAAAAAAGCGTCGACAGTAGGATTTGAACCTACGCCCTCAGAGAGGAAGTGATTTCTAATCAATCGCCTTAGACCGCTCGGCCATATCGACGCTGAACTCGACCGTTGTTGTGCCAATACAATCTTACAGTATACAGGATATCAATCTTTTTCTGTTTGTAAGAGATTGAAATTTCTTGAGTAGATTTATTGATGAAGGGTCGAAAGAATCTCGAGAGCACGCATTTCCCTTGCCTTCACTCTTCCAGCCTCTGAAATGAATCCAAATACCATCCTGGCACAGCTTGGCACAACAAATTCCAAGGTTCTTTCTGACGACTGGATCTTTGATGGTGCGCATGTGCAAGATGACGTGTTCCATGGCACCTAATTTGTTCAACTTGACACAATTCTTGACTGGAATGAAATGGATTACCGTCAGTAGCACAGATAGACAGTGCGAGTGCAGTGTTTCCAATCAACTTGAGAGATGGTTGATTGGTGTGTTCTTTCAAGATCTGCACCAATCCCTCGAATCCCAACTGAGATTTAAAGCTATCCAGTCGTGTTGGATCTTGTTGAAGCAATAGTGTTGTCAATTGCACAGCTTCTTCAATGTGTTGCAATCCAGCTTGCCAAATCGACTGCCACACAGTCTTGTCAACGATTGCAAAGTATCTTGGATCTCTCTTTGTGAATTGAACAACGAGTCGTAGATTCGTGAGATCCAAGAGATCTTCATGCAAGTAGCGTAGATGCTTGCAATCCAACTGAATGGATGGATCAGTGATCAAGACGTTGTACAAGCTCTTGGTCAGGAGTTCAGACAAGACAATGTCTTTGGAAGGCAATTGCTTGAATAGCTTGGTGCATAAGTCCTGAGCACTCTTTTTGATGTCATTGACAAAGTGCGGATGTCTCGAGAACTCAAACAGACATTTGAGCGATCTCTCGTTGGCTGGAAGTTCCAAAAGGATTCTGTCCAATGGCAACTGATAGATTTCAATCAAATTCTGTTCTTGCACTGCCATCCACTCAAGCCAGTCTAAGATCTTGATGGCTGGCTGTTGTAATGCTGTTGTAGCAAGATGTGTCCAGCTGTGTTTGGTTCTGAGAATGCTGTGCAAAGGTTCAGATTTGACCATCCACAATAAGAACCCAAGCAACTGCGCTTTGGATGCCTTGGATACCAGAGCCATGTACTCGTTGATTCTGGTAGTCAGCAACCGTTGGTTCTCCTTTGATTGACAAGCCAACTCAAGTGTCTCCAACAGCAGATCCGGAGTATTCTGTAGCTTCAAGATGAGATCAAATCCACCCTGAACACGAAAGATGTCCTGCATCTCTGGCGTTTTAAAGAATGCTTGGATAATCTTTCGATCTTTTGTGTCCAGCAGCCTTTCAAACAGTTCAATCACCAATGCACTGTCCTCTGGTAGTTGCTTTGAGAGATCATTGATCTTGTCCTGGTACAACTGCACTTTCAACTCTAGATCCTTCCAATCTACGATGCCTTTCACGGAATTGCTCTTGATATAAAGCAACGGATCTAGTGCTTGTTGATACTCTTGCTGTTTTGCATGTGACAGACTCTTGTACCAATAGGGCTTGGCTAGAGTGGGATCTGAGGCAATGGCAGCATCACAATCCAAGAGACACGCTCCAAAATCATTTAGGAGATAGTGACAGATGGCTCTGTTAGAGTAGAGACTAGGTGGGACTGGCAAAGGCAACGGTTTGATCTTTTCCAGAAGTCCAAACAGTTCAGATCCCTTGTTGGGCTTGATGGGATTCATACAGTAATCAATAGCTTCAGTGTAGGACTGAATGGCTTTCTGATACTGCTTCTGACCAAAATACTCGTTTCCCTTGTCTTTGAGAGACTGGATATGAGCTCCATGTGTGTCGTGCTTCTTCACAGCAACAGGTTTAGGAGTCTCTTGTGGTGGTTCATCTGTATCTTGGAATTTCTCCCATTTCGAGTAGTCAATCACGCCTTTGCGGCCTTCCACTCTCTCTACAGACGGCGCAACATCATTTTCCTGTACTTGAGTCTCAACTGGTGCAACAGAGACTGGTTTCGGAGTTCCTTTCAAGATGTCACTCATCTCACTCGCTACTCTTAAACCAGATACTAAACTTGTCTACAAAGTCCTCAAAAGCATCAATTTCCTTGTTGAGGTGCTGTAATGGATCCATTTGGAAAGATCTGTCGCGCCATAGATCTCAGCTGTTGTTTGCAATTTGTCAACAGTCATCGACACTTGATTCTACACTTTTCCTTGGAAATGTCAGAGAAAACGCTCGCACAAGCGCAATTGCTCATAGAATACAAAAACCTGAAAACAAACTGTCCCACTGGAATGTATTTGCTTCCAAAGACCCTGCATGAGTGGCATGGGACCTACTTTGTGCACAAGGGCATGTACAAAGAAGCCATTATCAAATTTATGGTCCTGGTGCCAATAGAGTATCCACTCAAGAGACCTAGAGTCAAAATACTGACACCTATCATCCACCCACTGATCAAGGATGGGTTTTTGGACTTGGACCATGGATTTCCCAATTGGAGGCCATCCATTGACTTTATCAGCCATGTGTTGTTCTATATCAAACAGTCTTTGACATCATCGTTTCTCGATTCACTCCAACAAGCACCAAACTTGGAACTGCTTGATCTCTACCACCGTGATCCAATCCATTACCGCAAATTGGTAGCACAGTCATGCCAAGACTCGAGTAGTGCCAATGCGTTGTTTCAAAAGTCTGATTTTCTGATCCAGTACCAGCATCTGGATGATTCAGCGTTTATTACGAAGCGATTGCAGTTGTACGACAGTATTGGGATCAAAACAGAGTTATGATCGTTTTTTGTACGTCATTTGTCTGTTGCCACCCACAAACGTGATGGATTCCTTTTCTGGTTCGTTCAACCTCTCACTAAACGCAACATCGTCTTTGACTTCCTTGTGCCTGTTCAACGAGTGTCCCTCCTTGATTTGGTACATTTTGGCTTCCTTGGCTCTCGTGAATCTGATCTGGTCGTCGTCAGAGTCACTTTCTGCTGGCTCAAAGCGTTGTTTGACTTGTGACTAGAGTGAATTGGAATACCTCTGATGGATGATGCAGCTTGTACTCGTGAGATGTTGTATCCACTTGGAAGTCGTCATCCTTGAACATGGCAGCGAAACGATCATCTCCCAAAGGATTCTCCATCGGTCCAGATTCCTTTTCAAGCAGCTGCTGTGCCAATTGCTTGTTGACTTTTGGCAGTTTCTTGGATGCAATTCTGGACTGTCTCTTTTCTTCCAGTCGCTTCTTGACCATTCTCTTTTTGTGCTCTTCGAACTCAAATGGATTGGCAATCGCTCTCGCCTTCTCTTAAATCAAATACCTTTTCGTACAACCGATGATCGACAAAGAAACCGTGCATGTAAGCTTTGAGGACATTGGTACCAATCAGATGATCCATGCCAAGGTTGATGAGCTCCTTCTTTGTGACGAATTTGTAATCATCGTACAAGTTCTGGTTTGGATTCTCCTCCAGTTCTTCTGTGAGATTGTCAAGGAACGGACACCATTTGGGAGCAGTGCCAAGTTGTGGGACATAATAAGATTGGATTTGTGTGCCTTCAACTGCCATCATGATCAATCCAGAGTCTTTGAACACACAAACATCGTTAATGTCGCTTGGTGGTTCGATATTAGTGAAAATGTTGCCTGTTTCCTTGTTCCAGATCTTGCAAATCTTGGTATCTGCTGAGATGCAGTTGCCAGACTGATGGAAAGTGAGACTCTTGATTGGGAAGCCGTACTGATGATCCTTGATCAAAATAGGGGCTGGATGACGCATATCATGCAACACAACTTGTCCAGTGGATGTGCCAGTCATCATTGACAAACCATCGTAGTCAAAGCAAATGGATGTCACTTGAGGCAACTCATCCAGCAATGCAGCATCAATGGTCTTGGCAACAGTGCCAGAAATGTCCAAAGAAGCGATTCTCTTCCGTGCTCTGGGATCCCAAAACTCCATCTGTCCATTAGAGCCACCAAAAGCAAGCATCTGGTGTGCTGGATTGATCTCAAGTGTGTTGATTTCAGGCAAGAGTGTCTCTAAACCACTGAGAAACCTGCCTTCTTCCAGATTGAGTCTATAAACTTCACTCGAGTCACCAACACTGTAGAGGTCACAGGATGGAAAGTGATACCTCAAATCACGGCCAAACCTAGGAATTCTTGTTCTGTAATGCATGCCATAGTGTGAATGGACTTCAATCGATCTATCTGTCTGTAGATGCACAGTCTTTTGCCAGTCCTGAGACAGAATCTCAAAGTTCACATTCTCTGCATCAGTGTGTCTCTCAAACTTCATTGACAGCTGTGCAAGATCCCATGTTCTCAACTGTGGTTTGTAAACACCTGTGCCCATGATATACTGTCCGTCAGGTGTCTGTTTTAACTTATTGGCTGCCTCTGGAAACCCAAAATCCTGCAGCAATTCAATTCTGTTTCTCCAGCCAGTGTCTTTTTTGAGCTTTTTGAGGTTGCGCTGCACTTGCCAGTCTGGGATAGCTGACCTAGAGGCTGATGTGACAGAGTATATTTTGACATTGTTTGGGGCAACGACTTGCATCCTTCAAATGCGACAAAAAGAAAAATCTGCGTGTTGCAATTTGGCTCGCACAGGCAGGAGTAGTGTGATGAAGTGAGCCTCTTGCCTCAAGAACGAGGTCTTGTCTCTGAAATCACCCATGCCACTTGCATCTCTGTTTCGGCAATCTCTGAAGACTTTGAAAGACGGGTGCTGTCCAATGATTGAGCATCTGTCCACTCTGATTAGGATCACTGGAGAGACTGGTTGTTAGATGAGCGACCACTGACACACTTGCCCAAAAATGTTCGTTGACAAGCTGCCTGGATTGGATCCAGTGCTGAAATCACAACTGATCATGTACAGTGGACAACTCAATGTCACTGAAAAGGCAAAGCTGTTCTACTGGTTCTTCAGAGCCAACAAACTCCACAAACGACAACGACTGACAGTGTGGCTGAACGGTGGTCCAGGATGCAGTTCGATGGATGGATTGTTTCTAGAGAATGGACCATTTA